GGGGGGGGGGGGGGCGGAGAATTCAAAAAATAGAAAATAACGGCCGGTTCACTGGGGCGGATCACCGGTCGTTATTTGCTATTTTTTAAATTTTTTTTTTCAAAATCCGGATGAACTGCCGGGCCGGCCCGACGGTTCACGGTTCACCAATTCATTGAACCGGGCCCGTCCCAGGGACGATGGGCCGGTTCACCGGTCAATGGTTCGGGCCGGTTCGTCAACGGGCCGGTTCGGGCGGGTTCCGAGCCCAAAACTGACCCATGACCGTGTCTACTGTGGGCCCCCCTTGTAATAGAATCATTTAGGTAAACTAACAGTAACAGTGACGCGGTGATTTGCATAGCTTAGTTGCACAACTTAGTTATATTAATAAGCAACAATTTCGTTAAAATACAGTGAAAAAAAACTAAAACAAGAATAGATGTTTCCACAACATAAATACAATTTACACAGACAACTTAGTTACACAGCTTAGGTACACGGTTTAGACAATTTATTTACATAGTTTAGTTACACAACTTAATTAAATAAGCAAGAGAAAAAAAAAATTAAATTTATCACCACCAACATTACCATCACCATCACCATCACCAAACAATTCTTAACATTTTTTCAGTTTGGTTCCCATGATTATTAGGTTACAACAGAGATGAATGAATGTAACCAAAATCGTAAGTATGTGCTTGTGTGTAGTTGCGTATGTGCGTATGGAGGTGTGTGATGTGTATGTGCCTCTGTGTGGCTGTGTGATAGAGCTTTTCAACGATGATAACAAAGGGAATTGAAGTAGGGATGTAGCAGATTTAAGGGAATACAATGGGGTTGGACGAGATCTAACAAAGTGTGGGGAGTCTGAAGAATACATAACTTTTAGCAAATTGCAAAATTTGATTTGTTCTGATTTGAAAGACAACTAGAATTCATGGGTGTTTAGCAAATTACCCCTTTTTAATATATTGCCTTGTCATGTATTTTTAATTTTTTGGCAATTTGCCCTATTCAGAATTCTAGAGATGGAAATATGGTAATTCTCTAGAATTATCCTTGGAGCCTACAAATAGGCGTTAAACCATTGTAAACATATAATCAAGTTGACAGTTAATTACTAACAAAAATCTTCTTATTCAATCAAGTGATTTTATTCGTTCTCTCACTAAATTGAATTATGTGTCAAGTTACGGTCAACAAACATCGGATGTAAATAACCATGAATAACATCTAACTCTCTAGTATCCCTAGGCCTCGTTTGGTTGGCAAAATAAGATTAACCAAGATAAGATTAAATAATTACTCAAAAAAAAAAGAAGATAAGATTAAATAATCTAATGAGACCCAATTATTTTGTTACAGCTTGAAACGTCCAAAAAAAAAACTCATTGGAAAGCAAAATAAGCCATGATTATATAATTTTGACGGGTCGACCCGACAATTTATTGAGAATACCAAGCATCAAATTAAGTCCAACTATTTAGTTAATCATAACTTATTTTGGCAACCAAACGGGGCCTAGGGCCCAAATAATTATACGTAATGAATTCTCCAGTTATTAACGAAAAATTTCGTCCATTTTTATGTGGACTGGTCTACTTAGGGAATTTATGATTTTTAAATTTTTCTTTTATTTGTTTCTTATCGTCTAAATATATTCCTAAATGCAAATATTGATCCAATCCTCTTTTTGATTTATGAAATAGTTCATTTAAAACAAAAAGTAGTATCTTTTCATAAATAATTTAAAGGGGTCTTTACAAATAAGCCCATCAATGGGTACTTATTCATAAAGAGATCCAGACAATAAACTCATTTACAAATAAGTCCGTACATGGTTTAGATTTTTGTAAAAGACTAAAATAGCCCCTCATACTTTAATATGCTCCAATTTCATCATTAACTTAATTTAACGTCAATTTGACCCAAAATTTCACAAACTATTCAATTTTGACCCAAAACTTTTTATTTTTCAAATTTTTTTTTTGCCGCCGGATTCCGACGTTGACTTTTCGATTTTTCCTTTTTCCAGATTTTTCGCCGTTTTCCCGCGTTGACTTCATTTTTTTCCGCCACCGTTTTCCGGCGTTGAATTTTTCGATTTTTTTTTCTTTCTTTCTTTCTGTAACATTTTTTTCGTTTAAACAACAATATTGTTGTGATTGACAGTAATATTAACTATATTACTGTTAAACACAGTAAAATTAACTAAACTACAATTAACACAAATATTGCTATATTAATATCTAGCACAGTAATATTAACACAACAAAACTCATTATTATTGTGTAATAGAGTAATATTACTACGTTGATCGTTTAACAAATGTAAACATAATAAAAAGCCAAAAGAATTAATATTACTGTGAGTGACAGTAATATTACTATAACAACAGTAATATTACCTTCAACCACAGTAATATTACAATAATAGACAATAATATTATTACGTTACTCCGTGAATAACTTAAACAAACAAAAAAATCCAAACAAAATAATAATATTGATGTGGTTGACAGCAATATTACTATAACAACAATAATATTACCGTCAATCATAGTAATATTATTGTGTTTACAGTAATATTACAATAATAGACAGTAATATTATTACGTTACTCCGTGAATAACTCAAACAAAACAAAAAAACCCAAAAAAATAATAATATTGATGTTGTCGACAGTAATATTATTGTGTTTACAGTTATTTTACTCTCAACGACAGTAATATAATTACGTTGACTTGTCAACAAATCAAACAAAATAAAAATAAATAACGAAAAATAAAAAATAATAATAATACGTTAATTTACTGTCAACGGCATAACAATTACATCAATGTATTGTCAACGACAGTACAATTACGTTAATTAACTGTCATTGACAGTATAATTACGTTAATTTACTGTAAGTGACAGCACAATTACGGTTAACGTTTAGCGGCGGACATAAAAAAGAAAAAAACAAAACAAAACGAAAAAAAAACTAAAAAAAAAACACTAAAAAAAGTCAACGCCGACTGTAAATCTTAATATATAAAAGAAAGAAACGCTGGATAACCCTAAAAAAACCCTAATGGTATTTCTGTAATTATTTATTTTTAATTTTTTTTCTATACTAATTTTCAACAATTATCAATCTTCTATTTTTCATCAATATATCTCAAATCTTAATATATAAAGACATAAATTCGATTTGTTAAATCTAAACCTATATATTTGGATTATAAATCTTAATATGTAAGATTTAAAAAAACTAATGTTATATAAATTATGAGTAATATTATATTACTAAATTTTACTATGTTAATGTACTATATTTTCTTATTATGTATTAAATTGATTTTTTTTTTTCACTTTTGAAATAATATCTCGTGCATCACACGGGTTAAAAAAGGCTAGTAAATATTAAAGGGAAGGACTTATTGGTGAAAGAAATATAGCCCATAAACCTAGAATAACAAAGATGCTTGGTTGAGAACTTATGCAAAAAACCCCTAATTCAAATGACAATATAACAAGTTACATTTAAAGATGTAAAAAAGTTACTCCTACTCATGATGACAATCACATAATTAGCGGTAGCAGTTCAATTGAAGCACGCCCAAACTTTATATACATAGAATATAAAAGGCACTAAAAGAAGTGATCATTAGTTTGATGATGGATATGTTAAATAATTGAACAATCATTAGTTAATTACATGAGGGTACAAGAATTAACATTATCATCATTGAACAAATTGCTAACTCTGTCGTCTCCACGGTGGGTGATGTGAAGAGAGCCGTGCTTGTCGGCGGCGTTATAGCCGTGCCGCCAGTAATTGTAGCTCTCTTTATAGTCAACGGTCATATCCTTGTAGTAATGGCTCGACGACGTGAAGTATAGCGGTGGGTTTGGGTACGGCCAGAACTCGGCCCTCTTTCCGGCCCTCCTAACGGCCTTTAGCACTTTATTCCGATCGACGTATCCGATTACTTTAACCCTCTCCATTTCCAACTCGACCTCGATTGAATCGATACCTCTCAGCTTGTGAATGGCTAATTTGACTACTCTCTCGCACCCACTGCAGCACATCCTCACTTTCAGCTCCACTGTCTGTAAAGTCATTGTTAGTTAATGTCGTAAAGCTATTCAAAAAATGATGCTGTTTCCACTTATAATAAATTAAACAATTCTATACACACTGTCTCCACCTTTCTTCTTATTCCAACTTAATTCTTCTTTTTTGTGGAGTATATGTCTTAATTCTCCACTAATTAATTATATACTAAGATACATCGATTCACCAAATGAGGCATATCCACTAATCCACCAAAGAAAAACTTGATCTATTGCAAGGATCTTGGCCTGCATTATTAGATGCTGTTTTTTTCTTTTTTTTTTTTTACTATATACATATTCCCCAGGATCAATACCATCGATTTTCGATCAATACCCGATAAAACCAAATCGGATTCAATTCATATGGGAACATGATACACATTGATATATCTAGTACAAGCTAGTGAGCTTAAAGAATTAAAAGAAAAATACAAGTGATCAGTTTATCGATTAACAACGGGTGTTACTTATTCGATGTTTACAGTTATTTAAGGCTTTCTCGGAATCTTCTTTCTTTCAAGTTAAGGTTACAAATATTAAAGGCTTAGAGACGACCAAAACGTACAATTAAATAAAAGATGAATACTAAAACCTGAAGCAAAGTTTGGTGCTCCAAAATGACATACTAAGTAACGAACCGTATAACTATCTGAATCTAATAACTCCTTATAATCCATGCATCTTATTATACCAATATATATATACACACACACACACACACACACACACACACTCATATATATATTAGGCTAGGACTTTGGGCATATATACATGCATGCAGTTCTTTCTCAACTAAAAAACACACAAAAGAAAAAACCCACCTGTACTTACAGACATATATTATCTAATTAATATTGTATAGTTGGTATAAAAAGCTTGTGAAGAAGAAAGTTAGAATAACCTGCAAAGAAAGTGGTCGACCCTTATGCTTGTTGCCATACTTGTGTAATTTCTGCCTTTTGGGGCCGCCGTTATCTTGATAATATCCGAAGAAACAATATGCAACTGCGGAGACGAAAGAGCCGAATAGCCTCTCAAGTAGTTTAACCATCATAAGTGAAATATGTTATCTTCCTTTTCTTTTTATATAATGAATTGAGAATATGAGAAGAAGATGACAGACGAGAAGCTATATATATAATTATATACTCCCTCTTTAGTGATCCACTCTTTTCACGTTTGCACAAATATTAAGAAACTCTAATAAATATAGCTTGATTTTAAAAAAAGCAAGAACATAACTGAAATAATCTTTAACATTTAATGATATTATAAAAGAGAGTTCATACTTGTAGTTGAATTAACAATTTTAAAATAGGAAATAATGCATTTAATACAGTATTGAAAATCTAAATAGACGAATAATATGAAACACAAATATTTAGAAGTGACATTTATATATACATATATATGTGTAACATATAATATTCTTAGAATCAATTCCTTTCTTAATAGACAAGAGGTTTTAATCTTTCACTATATATCACTCATACATTTAGTATTCCGTTGAAAGCCACCTATTTAGGAAGTAGTTGCCTCGATTGAAACTTTAAATGTGGATAATTTATTAAAGATTTTTTTATGAGAAAGTTATTGACCAAACATCTTAGTTAGTTTAGGTTCAAGTGTTTTTATGAAAAAATTACCCCTAACATTTTAAACTCAACTCATAACTGTAAGTCTTAATGTAACTCAAATTTTACGAATTTTGACCCTAAATTCGATTTTGATTTTTTCGCCATTGACCCGTCAAGACAGTAATATTACTATCCAACTCATCTTATCTTATTAACAAAAGAAGGGTTCCTGGAGAAACCCTAAGAAACTCTAAAGGATATTTTCATATCTATTTGAATGTTAAGAAGCGCCGTTCTGGAAAAATCTTTAAGTGATATTTTACCGCCTATTTGGATGTTAACTGTTGTAAACTTATTTAATATACATTCATAATTATTAATTCAATTTATTTATTATTATTATTTTAACATAAAAACAACTTCATTTTACTAAGATTTCAAAACAAGGGGATTGGAACAAAGTTTAGTAGTAGATTTGTCCCATTTTTTCTAACTAATATTAATTATTTTTTCTACATATCCTACTCCATTTTTTAATGAGGTTTTTATGCGTAAGTCTCTTAACAATTATCTTTATTATTCTAGGTTTATGGATTATATTTCTTTCGCAATTAAACCCATCTGTTTAATGTGTATTATAAGTAAATTTACCCCCAACCTTTTAATTCAATTACTTGTAACACCAATTTAACTTTAATTTCATCTATTTTGACTATAAAAAATCAATTTTGACTTTTTTTTTTTCAAAATTTTTTTGCCTCTGGTTTTTGGTGGTGTCTTTGATTTTATTTTATTATTTTTTATTCTGTTTTTACGCCGCATGTTTCCGGATCTGACTAACGGCCAGCGTCGGTCTGCGGCATTGATTTTTTTTTCCTAAAACTTTTATCCGTTTTTTTTACGCCTGTCGCTGAACGTTGACCGTAATTGTATTGTCATTGACAATAATTACTGTCATTCATAACACTACTGTCAACCACATCAATATTATTATTTTTTTTGCTTTTTCATTTTGTTTGATTTGTTGATCAGTCAACGTAATAATATTACTGTCGTTGATAGTAAAATTACTGTAAACACAATAATATTACTGTCAACCACATCAATATTGATATTTTTTTGGCTTTTTTATTTGATTTGATTTGTTGACTGATTAACATAATAATATTACTATCTATTATTGTAATATTACTGTAAACACAATAATATTATTGCGGTTGATGGTTATATTACTGTCGTCGTAGTAATATTATTGTGGTTGACATAATATTATTGTCAACCACATCAATATTAATTCTTTTGGCGTTTTATTATTTTTGCCTTTGCTGAACGGTACATATTAATATCAAGGTTGGGTCGGTCGAGTAGTTATCGACAAATTACATACTCGACCCAACATCCGATTTTGCTTAAAATTGAAAATCATTATTGGCCTGACCATTATGGGTCAGGTAATGGCCGGTAACCAACTTTGGCGGGTAAAAGATGGGTGGTTGGTTGGTATTATCGGCCATCTATTTATTTATTTTATTTATTTTTATTTTATTTATTTTTATTTTTTTATTTTTTTTAAATAATAAGATGTTTTTAAAAACAAAAATTCAGAATATATATATTCAATATTTTGTGAAAACTTATTTTAGTAAAAATTTGAACTTTAAAAATAAGAGCTTTTTTTATTAAACTTCTGAAATAAGTAAATATATACTTTCTAAGTCAATTTTCTAATGAAGTTTTAGCAATAAATAATATATGAATGCGGAATGAAATACGATAAAATAAACTGTATATAACACCGAATTTATAGTGGTTCGGTTACCTACTACACTCTTTCAGGTACTCGAACTTTTATTCTACGTGCCTCCGGAATCTTTGGATCCTCCATACAAAAAAAGGACATGCTTACAAGACTCTAACGATTTTCGCATCAACGATGTGCTTACAAGAGACTTACTCTTTCGTACTTATCAACGCGTGCTTATAAGAGACTCACTACTCTTTCGCACACACAACGTGCTTACATGAGCATCACTCTTTTGCACAAAACAACTTATAACCACATGTTAGTTCTTTGTCCTTTCCACCAACACAATTCACGTGAAATATGCCTCTAGAATCGTGCCATGTGTCCCAGCAACACAACTGATTTTTTAATGATCTATCTATTCTCCTAAACGCACTTATCACAAATATTTATATTAAAAATATAAATAATATATCTTATGTGAAATGTATTTTGTACCTCTTATATTTTTATAAATTTTAAATTCATTTATTACTGATTTCGTGAAATTCAATTATACCATTATTCCTAAAAATCATTAAACCATTCGTCCAAAAATGCATATTGACACATTAGTACTTGCAAGATTACTTACCATTGCAATACAACAAATTATTAGAATTTAGCTAACAATAAGCACATATGTCACAAAGCTACAATGTATAATGATTATAAAACTTATATAAATTATTAATTCTCATGTAATTGTTATTATATATTAAATATTTCGACTACTAACAAATATATATATATAAAATAAATCTTAAAAATATATACAAAATTGTGGATCAACTCGTGTAATTTAAATATAATTTTTGAAAGAATATGAAGTTTGGAATCGAATCATAAAGTGTAAGATTTGAACCAATTAAGCACTCTTTCGTACAAAGCAACGTGCTTACAAAGACTCACTCTTTGACAAAAAAAAAAAAAAAGAAAAACCTCAAAACAAATAATTGCTCTCTAAGAGTTTCACAAAATCCATCTCTAATATATAATGAATCAAGTGAAGAACAAGAGGATAATTTTAAAATTTCTAGCACTCAAATGATACAATAGTTGCGCTTTTCGAATTAGGCTTGGAATGAGGATCGAATGAATGGTCCGCTATATATAGGTGTAGCTCTTCATATCTTGAATGGTAATGATCAATCTTTAATCTCTTGATTGATTTGACAATGAATATGATTGATCTCCAGCTGATTAGGTTCAATCAAATGATTGAAATATGGTAAGCATTTTAATTTTAAAACTCAAAGGAAGTGTTGTTTCTTTAAAATGTTTTCAGCATGTTAGTATAATTAGGATTATTAGTATAGAGTTATATTTAGATTACGAGTTATAGTTAGATTGTAACGTGACTTATATCCCTATAAATAGGGTATCTCTATTAGGAAATAACACACAAATCAAATTGATCATGATATTTTTCCAAGTATTTTAACATGGTACTTTTATTTTTTTATTTGTATACTGCTAAAAATAAAACAACGGTGTCGCCTCCACACCCCCGTCAAATTTTAGTCCATTAATTGTTGAAAAATGAATAACATATTTACCTAATTAACTACAAGTAGTACATAGTGTAAACTAATAATATTAAGGGTAAAATAGGTATAACAAAAAAGATTAATAAACTAAAAACATTCATAATTTTCAATGTAGGATAAGGGTAGTGAGTAATAATAATAAAATGTTAGATATTGAGAATTCTACAAAATTGGTAGGCGGCGAAGGTGCCCCTACCCTATACTGACTTAGCCTTTGGCCTTATACGTGAAATATATTTTTTTTTCCAAATGGACACTAATTTCGGGTTGAAAAACATTCAATTCTCATGTAACAAGAAAGACGTGCAAAACACTTCATTTTCATATGTAAAACTCTTCTCTATTCTATGATGTATAAATCTCATATAAATAGGATGGTTAATGATGGGACAAATTTTCATGTAAGTACACATGGGTCTTGTTGGAAATCTGCTGCAAAATATAGAAAAATTGTCGGATAGGCAAAGATGAGGCGCGGACTAGGTCGCTCTCTTAAGACGAATATCACGATCCCTTCTCGAAGAGGTGCAGTAAGGTCGTAATCGTGTCGGCTATGGGATACAGCAGCCCAGCATATCTCGTTGCTGTAGCTTCACCGGAAACCACACTATTAAGTGAAACAGAAGCTTGCACCCGACACTTACAAGAACTCAAAATACTTTAAAAAGAAAAAGATATATATTATGTTGTTGCTTTTTTCGTATCTCAAAATGAGGCAAATGGTGGCTCCTTTTATAGTTGGAAATTTGATGGTGTAACGACGAGATAATTAATTAGAATAAATTTGTTTGACTTTGGGATTTGAATTTTGAAAAGGAGCTGATGATTATTTTAACTTATAAAAACGCACATGAGAATTAAAAGGCTGATTTGTAACTCATGAAAACGCCTGGGGATTAACAAATGAAATTAATTTTTGGTCAAATGAATTGAAAATTATTTTTCCGTATCTGACAAATCTGTCATTCTTTAATTACATATACATATATAATCTCAAATTATATATAGATATATATATTTTATAAAATACTCCAAAAATCCCCCACTTATTTTATAAAAAATAAATTTAAAATAATTTCTAAAGTTTTGAGCTCTTGAAAGAACATTATGCATAATGAAAGTCTGCAATGCCTTCAAACTTTCACTTAGTATAATATATTTCCCGTACTAGAATCAAAGTGGACTTAGCCTTCAAACAGTGACCCTTGGGGCACGTAGAAACGTATTACACACATAATATTCAAGTGTCCCGAATAAGCTTCTTAAAGCCGGCACTTTAACGGCCATGTGCCTTACCCCATTTTTAGTGAGTGCTCGAGAGAATAGCCTATAATT